AGCTGTGCTTATTTCTAAAGATAATTGCTTGGTATCAGGGGAACTTATAGTTAACCCCCTTATTTTACTGCAAATGTACAAGTATCAGAGTTAAAGCAGAGTTAAAGTACAAATTTGCATTGGTTTAATCAAAACTGGTTTAGCTAAGCCAGTGCAAACACCTTGTTTCAGTTAGCTGTCCGACTTAGGTTCATTTAAACATCTTCCTAAACCATTTAAACTAAATAAAGCATAAGCTAGTCTTAAAACAAGTAAAAACTTCCAAACAGAAACTTGCATCATTTTCACTAACTTGATTTAAATTTGCACCTTCATTTGGTATAAACTGCTGCATGGACAAGGGCAGTGTTGCTGTAGACACTGTTCTTACTTTCCTCCCTTTGAAAGTTTTAAAGTCTCAAAAGAATGTAGAATAAAAAAAAAAAAAATCACGTTGAAGCTCTTTAAATTATGACGGCAAAAAAGGATGAAACTAACAAATGCATTACCCATTCCTTGGCCAAGACAGTGATTTGCAAAAGGTGGGGGGAAGGTTTGTTTGTGCTTTGGTTTGTTTCTTGTAAAAGATATGAAAGAGAATCTATGCATAATTTTGCTAGCCCCATATGCATATGTATATGTAGCACTTAGGAAGGTCTTTAACACTTTTCTCTCCTCCCTCTTCTGAACATAACCTAGTATTCTCTCTGTGTCCCTCCTTTCAGATATGATAAAAGTGGCATAAATGGCAGCAGTTATCAAAGCCAGTGAGCATTTTATTGAAGATAGTAGCTGTAAGCAAATAATCATAAATAGCAAATGCTTTGAAATCAGTGTTCTTTGGTAATATTCATGGTGTTGAAAATAAGTCAGAGTTTTCAGCAGCAAAAAAGTGATAAAATATACTTACATCATCAGGTGCAGATATCAATTTTAAAATGAGCTTGTTTAAAGCAAGTGCACTCTTCAGTAATGTTTAACCACTCTTCCTTTTCACTTCAAAAACAAAGCATTTCAACTTCTTGAGTATCTTGGACTCATTTGGGCCCATGTTTTACATTCCTGTCTTTCAAAACATCCCCAGACTGCCACAATCTCACCTTTGCAAAAAGGTTTTCAAACTGAATTAACACTACAACATTTCAAGGTGAAAGGAATGTTGTCACTTTATGAGCAACTGTAGACATACATTTGTACTGAAATAAACCTCCCGTCTCAACCTTGACTAGAACATCACTACTACAACACTCATAAAAATATAGCTTTTACTGTAGTCTTTGAACCAGAGTCCTTATTGAAGTAAATCAGCCTGAACTTCAATGCAATTTTGCTATGGTGATTTACGCTAGCTGAGATGCTCGTTTTTATCTTGCTGATTTTTTATTGTATCCTTTAATTAGTAAATAAAAGGCAAGTTCATCAGCAGCCCAGGTAGCTGTCAACTTTAAAGAGGCTAGGACAGTTCACAGGAATTTTAGTCTTGTAGTCTGATACAGACATCCTTGCTATGCATTTGGCTGACATACTACTTTGTCATTCCCCCCCGAAGGTCTTGTCCAAGTATTGAAGAGCTGCATAGCATGTTGCTCAAGGAAGTATTTTAGGACAAATCAAGCTAATAAGAGTTGACTGCGTTTTGGGCTTCAGTCTTACCTAGATCTCCATCCCATGATTTCAAAGTTCTGAGAAGCCATTTTGAAAAAGGAAAGAAAGTTTTACTAATAGCTACAGGGCAAAGAAGGAAACAAAGTGGAATGCTTTAAAAAGTCCCACCCTGTCTTTTTCACTAGGCACCTTTGACTGCAGGGCTAAGTACAGATAGTCAAAAAGCCCAATGCTGAATCAATTCAGTCTTTGCATATTAGTTTAAGATGCACAGATTAAACTGAGAAACAACTAGACAGAAATTCACTTTTGCTTCCAGAAATGCAGCCACATGTCTGCAGTGACTCAGGCTAGAAGCCAGTGGGGCGCTACAGCACAGCTCTCTGGCACATAGCCAGCATGGGCTGTGTACTCGCTTCCTCTTCCTGCTGCACCCGAGGTCTCTGGGGTTTTCCATCCAGACTCACAACTGCAGGACTCTGCAGGGTTGTTTATCACCTCCTCTAGGCCAGGAAGAGGAAGGGAAGAGGGCAAAAATAATAGCCAGGGTCACCACTGCCCAGTCCATCCAGATGCCCTGTTATGCCTTTTTTTCTTTTTTACTGGAGCTCAGTAAGGTTCCATTTCTGGTTTAACTCTAGATTATAAGATAAATGTAGAGATACAAATTTTTTTCTGGTTGTGGTGAAGAGCATATCACACTTCAGAGAGTGAGGGCTTTGTATTATAATTGTTTGCTTATGAAAAACTGTTTGGCCTTATGCTCCTATTTTCATTCCAAATTTTACCTTAAATAACAAATAGATATTTTGGGAAATGAAAATAGTATTACACTACAGGCTAGTCCACAGACGCATCATTTTGCACTGGATTAACGATGTTGGTCAGAGGAGCGCTTTTTTTTTTTTTTTTTTATAATGGAAAGAGTTATTGCATACCAGCACACGAGCTGGTGTGTATGCCGCTATATCAGTACTTAAGTGCTTATACTGATATAGTGTTCCTTCTCTTAAGGACATAAACTGTCCTGGTACAAGTCACCTTTGTGCTAGTAAAAATACATCATCTACTGATATAACTATATTAGCATCATTTAAGTGGTACTGCTTGTGCACTGAGTAGTTATACGCTTTGGAATAAAACTCAAACCTACAGAATAAGGTTAGGCTGACAAAAGGATTTTCCCAATTTAAATGGGAGTGGCTTAGCTAACTTCCTCAGTCTGTTTTGAAAAATCTCAATTCATAGCTTCACTGAAGAGGTTCAATCACCTAATCTGAACTAAAATGGCAATGATGAGTCCCCACAATATTCACTGGAGCCATCCAGAAGCTGGAAATGTTCAGCACCTCTCAGAATAAGCCCCACAGGGTGCTACATGGAAAAGAAGCTGTTATTTTTGAAAGGCAAGAATTCTGTATAGGAAAGAGCAGTATGTTACATCTGTGAGAACCTACTTGTATAAAGATATTAGGATTGCTGGAAGCCAAAGAAAACAGCACTCAAGACAGCCAGAAGACCAAGCATCATGAGCAAATAGGAGACTGAGGAATGATTTGAGGAACTGCGCACAACTCGAGTTTTTGTGGGTTTGATAATCCTCTCCTTGCGAGTCAGGATTGCATTTCTGGCTCCATCCCACCTCCCTGGGCCAGTCAAGCGGAACTGGAATGGACTGCAGGGGCCAAAGAAAATTAACAAGGCCAGCCTGGGGTCTGTCAGAAGTAGTGAAAAGATTTTCGGTTTTGCACCAGAGCCTTCTGCAAGCTCATCCAGATACTCAATATGATCCGTTTGCAGAGTCTGGCTCCGGCTGGTACCAAACCTTAGAGAGAAAAGAAAAATGCTTCACAGATCGTGATTATTAAATGATTAATGTAACTTGACCCCAATAAGCCCTTTTCACACAATCAAAGAGTTAGTATGTAGAGAACTACAATGGAACTCGAGAATGTTGTCAGCATCAACAATACTATATATACAAGAAAAGAAGGCCAAATCACATGGACAACTCTGTTCCAGAGAATAGAGTCTGTCTCTGTATGTTGAAGAGATGATATACTACAGCCATATCAACCTATTGCTTAAGAACAGATAGAACAAAATGTATTATATCCACAACTCCAGAAGAGATTAAGAGATTGGAGTCAAGCTATTAAAAGCATTTTAGGTAGACTTGTGGGTGCCGGCAGCATTGTGACTGAATTATAGTTGTCTTCATGGTTTGCCCAAGAAAGTCTTATGAAAGCATTAATTGCTTATAAAATATAGATTTTAGTGAAGCTAAGGTTTCAAAAACAAATTAAGTCAGGCTAGGCCTCAAACTGTAAATAGAGGAGTGAGATTCTATTATGCTTTTTTGCAACTAAATGGCAGTTTTGCAGCCTTGTAAATCACCTTTTCGGCACTTGTACACAATTTGTGATTCTGTTACTCATGCAGTGTGAACAAATGCTTGTGCAATACATTAAGCACTGGTTGTGCTGGTATATGACTCCATATGCATGGCACAAGTCCCAGAAAAAAAAACAGTCCTGGTGCATGAGCACCAAAAATTCAATTTAGGCACACACAGAGTGCACTTTAATACACGTTATCTTATTTTAATGCAGATTAAAGCGTCACAAAAAGTACTCTTTAGCTAATGCACATTAAAATAGGATAATGCACATTTTTCTGGTACCTCACAATGGAGGTACTAGATTTAATGCACATTACCTAAAGCACATTAATGAGCATGTCACGGCGGGGTCCTCGCGGAGGGCCGTGTGCTCCTTAAGGTCCCTCGCTCCGTGTCAGGCCGGCCCAAGGCACCCTCTAATTCTCGCCCGCC